ACATTTTTGAAGGGAAAATGCCATAGAGCTTGCTTTATGTTTCTTATGGCAGCAGCAAGGGCAGCAGAAATGAAAAACAGGTGTACAATCAGTCTTACAATGAGACAATCATTTCAAAATTATTTCTAGAGCAGTCACTGCAGGTCAGAAATCAAATTACAGAGTTTATTTCTAAGTAGCATTGTTTTTAAAATGTGGATGCTCGTCTGACAAAGGTAATTTTTTAAAAAGATATATGTGTAGGAAAGTTATACCTTTGTCCTAGTTAGTATGCCTGTTGGAAATGTAAAATTAAGGAACGGTATCATAAATAGCATAATGAAATACTAGGCACTCAGCAAGTGTGAAAATCTACTTTCTAGTAATTATAGCAAAAATGTAAAAATGATAGTTTCTTAATGCTAGTTTAAAGGTTGCACAGGAACAAATGCAACAACTACAGATACCACAGAATAGAGACTAACAGTGACAGCAAAAACCTCTTACTGCTTCTATTTGTTTTGCATCCTGTTTATTTTGCTGCCTTCTGTGGATCTCAGTTGTCACTCATTTGGCAGCAGAGGAACAGACAGAAAGCAAATCTGAGAAACTGCAAAGTTGCACTGCGGCTTTGGCAATAAATTTTTTTTTGCTTTGTGTACTCTACATAATTGCCTGGGTGTAGGCTGCATACAAGATAAAAAATGTTTGTTCTTTCCCCACCTCAGGGGAAAAAAAAAAACCCTGAAAATAATATAGATGAGACAAGTTAGGAAACTTAAAAGTAAGCTTGGACTTCTGCGTCTACTGAAATAAAAGATAAAACTGCCTCATGGAGTCTACTGAGAGTAAAACTGAGGAGTAAGTGTGGGAGAACCTTAGGAAAAAATCACTAGAAAGTCAGGTCAAAAAGCCCAGTGTAAGGAAACATTATGTCAGGCTGTGTCTTGAACATAACCTTTTAGTTACAAACAAGCTTTTTCTTCAAAGCTGTATTAGTAAAAAAGCTGATCCCTGTCATGAAATGAGGATGTATGTTTCAGTCCAGTCAAACCAAGCCAAGTGGCATGAACATTTTGTCCATCTTATCATGGTATTTTTCTTTACTTTGGAAAGTGTCCAAAACTTAAAACCAACTGTGAAATATCTCTCCACATGTTCAGGTAACTACATATGTTAATACCACAATAGCTGTAATTCATTCATTTTCATTTCATACACTCCCTCTGCTGGAAGTGAATGTGAAAGTCCAGTGACTCAGAGGAAAGATTATTTGGCAAAAGAATGCAAGATGCATTGAACAAACTCCTACTTCTTTTATTAATTTGAGATTACACTTCAACATTCCAGTCTGTATCAGCAAAGCAACGCATGTTCCTTGTGCACAACTATTCATACACTTCAGTCATACTGAAATCACTAAGACATACGGAAAGAGAACCTATTAGTGCAAACTAATAGGTTAAACACTCCTTGTATATACACTTTAGATGCACTTTATTTTATCATTTCAGATCTGGTAATCTGAAAGTCAGATAAAATATACAAAGGGTAAAGAGAGCTGACGAAGCAACTCTGAGGCTGATAGCCATGTGGTTTTCTAATACTCCAAACTCTACAGTGATAGCCGCTGCTGCATTAATATCTGGGCTGGATTACTCAGTCTCAGAAGAAAGAAGAACAAATAAAATCTCAGCTCTAGCCCTACCAAAGCCACCCCACAGCACGCCTGTTTTTTTCTAGTCAAAGGCTAAAAATGCTTGCCTTAACAGTGGCAGCAGAATTTTAATTGATTACATGTTTCTAAAGATCAAGCTTTATTTAGTGACTGAAAGGGGGGAAAAATGGTTTTCTGAGTGGAAGCAGCAGGATAAATTGCACAGATACACAGTTCCAAACGCTGTGGAAAGGTTGCTTGCATGGATTGTTAGAAAAGCACTGCAACAGTTTTACCCAGACATACATAATGAATTCTTCCTTGGTGGTAGAACTATATCTCCACTAGTAGTGGAGATATTGTCTTATATAAATAGTAGCTCCTATTTCTTCTAGGATGAAAGAAAAAGAAGAGAGGATACCAGAGGCACTGTGTTCTTTCCTCTACAAATCCTGCAAACTAGTTATGCTCAAGCAAAATACTTTTTACTGGTTAATGGTGATACAGTCTCCACTGCTTTAGGTTAGCAGAATCAGTGGACAGAGGTTATAAACGTATTGCTGTATAAAAACATGAATGCTTTTTAAAATATGACAGCATTCTTTATGATGCAAAACAGATCACTAGGTCATCACACAATAGCTGAAATCGAGTTTAATATGCTCTTATTTCAAAAGAAAAATCACAAGTCATTTTTAGGTGTGGATATGTAAACAATATTACTGTGAATAAATAAGAGTTAATTTAAAAAAAAAGTATAAAATCAAGTTTATAAGTATAGTATTATTTAGAGTCATCAATAAGCATCACAAATGCAAACATGAATGTTGGGGGGGATTGTTTATGTTTATTTCCAAACAAAATACTGTAATAAAGCAATAACAAGAGAAGTACCCTACCACCAGTAACCCACATTATGAGGAAACAGATAGCACCGCAGAATATTATAATACATTTCAATTTGGACACGTTCAATAGTACTTCCTGCTTTAGGAAAACAAATAAGGTGTGTTATAAAAAAATTAGAGGGCTTGCAATCCGAAATATGAAATTATAAATATGCTGACTGAACTCATTATTTATTTTCGACTTAAAGGAGGAAGAAAAGTTTCAAATTCAGCAATGGTCTCAAGGTTTTCAGAATATATTACTCTTAAGAGTAATATATGCAATTCCCAATGAACAAACACTGTTCAAATCCTCTAAGGCTATTACAACATTGGCAAGATGTGAACAAGCAGTTTTTTCTTAAACTGAAATATATTACTCACAAACTGAAGCAAATTGAAATAATTCTTCTTCCATCTTTTCTTCCCTTTCTGGCTTCACCTTAGGTCAGCTGTGAGGTTGCAACTACAGTGATATTGTTGCTCTTGTGGAAAGCTAGTCCTAGAATTTGTTATAAGTATATATTTCTATGCTATCATTTTGGAGGGGACCTTTATCAAATACCTTTAAGGCCTTTTTAAAGCAACCTGTTCCTAAAAGCAACATAGAATCATATCTATAGCTCACATCAACAGGTTTTAAAAGGAGGTAAGGGGCATTTATATAGGTTATGCTGTCTTCAAACATTATTTGAGATATGACTCTGAATGTGTAGTAGTCAAGTTATCACAAACAGAATGTCTATGCAACATATGCAAGATGTTGGTTCAAACCATTATCATAACTAACCTGTCCTTGCCTTCAAAGATAAAACTTTTCCAAAAGATTTCTAAGTTTATGAAGATAGCAAGAAGGATGAATCTATTAAAAAAAAAAAAAGTGAATAATGTCCTGAATTAAACAGAAATTATTTATTTCCAAATACAGAAGAGACTTCCCTGATAATTTACAGCAGGAGAGAATGCTACGTCCTCTCCTGTATTTAAAACGCAAGAGTGTAGGTCATAATATTTGTAAATGTTATAAAGAGCAGAAATTCTGAACAAGTTAAAATGTCAGTATTTATCACCATACAAATAGTACTCTTTCATATTAAAAAACTCTTTAAGTACAAGGGTAGCGTAGTTGTAATAAAATTGTTGTAAAAATAAATAGATTATTACAAGAAAGTTGTAATAAAATTCTTAGAAGTTGAATAGCTCTCAAACATATCTATAGTGGAAACATACAAAAACATACCGTATCATAACATGTGATAGATGAATATCAAAACACTGTGATATCTCCTGGCTTTAGTATCCTATTTTGGCCAAATTGAGAAGTATGAGAGGTTTGAAGGAAAAAAAAAAAATCCCTGCCTACCTTGAGATAGCATAACACCTTCTTGCAAGCATAATCCTCACATAGTTCAGCAAAAATACATTCAAATTATAACATCGGGATAGAGACACTTCTTTTCCCTGATATTGTTATATCCATTCCTTTATTCCAGTTATATCAATACATTTTTAATAATGGAACAGTAATCAGTACAGTTGATGTAACTTGCATTCTTTTTTCCTGTTAACTGAGATGTGCCATATCCCACAATGATACAAGATTGAGGAGGGCTAGGAGGAAGAGGAAATTATCTAGACAGATTTCTTTCCACTGAACAACATTAGGAGTGTCCGAAAACTTGTTCAAGAAGTCGTGAAATGCATTTAATGAAATTTAGCATTTAAAAGTGAAAAGATGATAAGCCCAGAATTACATTTGACCTCTAACTCTCCAGATGACGTGCACGGTCTTCACAAGCCATCGTGAATATAACATTAAAAGTCTTTGAATAAAGAATCCCTAGGGAAAAAAATAGGAAATTCAATTTGTTTCACTTTCAGTGAATACAGAAATACATTCTGATGTTTCTACATGCAAAAAAATTTAAGGTTTTCATTCTGAAAGCACTCTGAGCAGGCTTCCTAGACACTTCAACAGTCAATCCAGATGATTTGCGGGATTATATTTTATTGCACAAAAGTGCTATAATGCTCTTTGAAATGAAAGACAACCTCTGGACTACTATTACTTATGAAAATTAGACAGAAAAGGTCTTTCCTACCAGATCTGCACGATAAAGTACAAGTCACATGCTCTTCACTCTAGTGAAACATGGAGTCTTGTGCAGTGAAGACAAAAAGAAAGATGGGAGAATAAGAAAAAGTTACTGTCCAATTTATTTCTGATTATCAGAACCTTGATAAAAAGGAACTGTTGATTCATCTCCCATCACAGTTTGTCTGGTAAAATAGCACCAAAACACTGTACAGGAGGCAAAGCATCAATGGTGACGCCAGCACTGCTGTCTCTGTGTATTTCATGTACTGTAGAATCAAATGTCAGCTGTTGAAGAAGCTTCTCTATGAATATGTAGTTATTTTTACAGTATCTTTCCTTACGTTACCTTCAGTCAAGTTATACTGAAGTTATAAGTTATCTTCAATCAATTGATAGATGGAATTTCACTTCCTAGAGGCCTATTTCTAATATCATTCTGCTTTAAGTCCAACAGGACCTTATAGCGAGAATGTGTTTCGTTAACTCCTAACATATCTATCTGAACCACCTTAAGTAATTCTGCTGTTCTGCTCATGATTACACCCATCAAATATTTGCATTTAGTATCTTTGCACTTACTCATTCTTCCAGGCCACTGGTTTATTTATCTCATTCTGATCTCAGTTACTGACCCAAGGAGACTTGCACCACACTCATAGGGCCTATGTACTTAGAGGAGCCTTTGATAACAAAGATCAATGAAGTGCCAAAAGTAAAAGTCTCAGTTAACAGAGTATTAATGAAATTCATCTTGGAAGGCCATCATTAGCTCATAAGCAGAAAAGATTTCCTGGAAGTCATGAATTGAGAATTCTCCCCACCCCCACCTCAACTTGCAATTATTTTTAATGCATGTTGCCATCAATCAATTAATAAACAAACACCCAAAACAAGCAGCAGATAACTAATAGGAAACCAAGCCAAGAATGAAACTCTCAGGGGAGTAGCTGCGTGTTGTGAAGGCTTCATTTCACTGTCTGTGAAAAGGAAAACTGTTGAGCTTGTTCATCTTCAGGGTTACATGTGTTTGATGATTTTTAGAATGCATTTATGTTTCCAGTAAAAACATGCTGATAGGTACATACGTATTTGGAATAAAAAAAATACTTTGACTGTTACTACAAGAAGAAAGGCTAGATAGTTATGAGTTCTTCTGTAGCAGCAACCTCAATATTTATACCTAAAACTGGACAAAAAGGTAGTAAGTCAAGTTGGGTTTTTATGTAGCACTATTACAGTTATTGTTAGAAGGTGTTATGGCTACAACAGTTCCAGTGCTATTTTCAATACAGCCGAATAAAATAAAATATAAGGAATATGAATAAAATAAAATACAAGGAATATCATCACAGGATTGTGGTCCTGAATCTTTAACTTTTTTGAAACAGTGTAATTTCATGGAATTCATCCAACATTTTAACAGGAAATACCAGAGTTCATACTTCTGTATTTCTTCTCTGTTAAGAACTGAATTGTTGAACTACTTACCCTTCCAGGGACCGGTCCAGAGACCACTCAGGAGACTGATGGTGGCAACGTTCAGGTGATGATGTTCTTAATGTGGAGCTTAACTGATACGAGGTTGTAAGATTCTGGAGTCGAAGCTCCTGTACAGCACGTTCCCTAAATCAAAATTCTTCTAGAGTGAGGCTAAGCACTTTTCAAAAATGATCAAAATGATCTCATAATCATTATCATCTTTTTTTTTTTCCATTTTTTATTTTTAAGAGATCGGTTGTTTATCGTGACTCTTTCTGTATTATTCCTATCCAGATTTTCCTCTATGTATCCATTATCTCCGTTTTCCCTAGAAGACGGAAAGCTAGCCATGCTTGCTGCAGATTAAGCTCTAGAAACTGCAAACATGTCCAGGGATGAAGAACCTACATCTAAGGTTATTCATAGGTCTGCAAGGTAAATCCCTGAAATCAGCAATGACATTAACATGAAGATGTTACGGTATTCTGATGCAGTTTGGGCCAGTGAGGCCAGCAGCAAAGCCTACCTAAGGTGCCCTGAGACAGATGGGCCCCCCAGTGAGAACATGGTAAAACAGGATTCTGCTCATTTTGACTGTGAGGGGTGGGAGTGAATACTGGACCAAACAACTCCTGCATCTAGGTGTACGGGGAGGAAGCACGTGGGATTGGGTAATACGCAGGGAAATTTGGGAGGCACGTACTCACATTGGATCCTGGTTTCTAGCTGCCAACTAAATGGGAAGGTAGCTTTGGTTGGACTGGGAAACTACTAGGAAGATTGGCTGCAACAACCCCTAAATTTCAGTGTATAATTCCAGTAAAACCTGGCAATGGTTCACTCTAAATTAATGGGTGTATTAGGAGGGTAGCATCAACCTGAGCTGGAAAATCAGGCTCTCAGTTGCCCAAGACCTTTCAAATGATTGTGTAATGAGGACCGTGGTTATGGTATTGAACTGAAATGGACTCTGGTGTGCCTAAGCCATTATCACAGCCCTATCCATGAAGTTAGCCACTGAAGTAGACCACCAAAACCTCTAGGGGAGGGATCAGATCTAGCACCACCTCCGAGCTCTGAATCTGCAAGCAACCAGCAGCAAGCACCAGTCAGATGGTAACAGTCTTCCACCTAGCTACCAACAGCCCACAACCTCATGCCCAGGGAGGTGCCATATGCACTATAAAGACTAAAGAACTTGACTTGTCTACATTGACTATTAGTCTCACAGGCCATTATTGCTCTTAAGAGCCTTACTGCACACATGCTGTATTGTCTTTAAGGGTCAAGATGGTGCTGGCAATGGCAGGAAGTCAGACTGCACCTGTTTGCACCCCTCGTAGGAAACACCCAGGAGAGTCAGGCTTCCATCTCTATATGCGCAGCCCAAGTAGGGAAGGTGCACTATGGGAGGCCTGTACAGAATCTGTGGGACAGAGATAATAGTGCAGCTCTTTCTGATACTATCTTTAAGCAGGGGAGTTTTAGGGACGCAAACAAACGATTAGAGCCTCAACTAGGCCTTGGTGTGAGGTTAAACTAAGTGAACAGGATGTAGAAAACTATTAGACATGACATAAGAAATTGCTGGATGTGACAGGTAACAGTGTCAGAAGCTGGCAAAAATCACAGCTAGAGCGCCATGAGAGATGGTTGGGTTTCACATGTGGTTAAGGGAGAGTTAGGCAAGAAATGGCTGAACCTCACAGATGGAGGGAAGGGGAGGGAACTCTTGGTGCATGGAGTCTTACAAGGCCAGCAGTACCTCAGTAACTGCATCAATAATACCACATAAGGCTGAAATCACCTGGGTAACAGTATCAGAAATACCAAATTTGTGTATGGATGTAGCAAAACTGTGACCAATAGGGAAAAGTAATTAGGGGGAGGTTGTTTATTTGGGAGGAGACTGAGGCAGAGGTACGAGGACAGCAGAAAGGAGGGTCAAGAAAGAGAAAAAGGAATAATAAGGTAGGCAAATCATGTGAGCAGGGCTACCTGGAGGTACCCGTTAGCCAGTCCTGTGCTTGGTCACACAGCCAGAGCAGGACAATAAGCCAAATCTGTTGTTTCCATATGAGTCAAACCTGCTTCCACAGTCAGGAGGATGGGAGGAATGGGGAGGTGTTTTCCCTGACTTGCAACAGGGAAACAGCAGAACAGAAGGGTCGAGCATCCTCTTATCACCACCATGCTGGTGCTCATTCCAGGCCTGACAGCACCAGCAGCAACCCACCACTTCCTAATTTCAAGTATTATTCCATTTGGCACCAAGACAGTAGTAAATCAATATACCTAGGGGAGTCAATGTTAAGACAGGGATATCATCTATGCACTTCTTTAAATTGAAGACAAAAAAGCAGTCATGTCTGCTGCTTCATTGTATGCTGTCATGATACTGCCTGTAAAAAAAAGTACTTTTCTGCTCTCTGGCTAATTTTCTAATTTTCCTTACCAGTACCAGAAAGAAAGATCAGCTGCAAGAAGCCAGTCTGGAGCTTTACTCCCTTTCCATGCTAGCAAAAGAGATAAATATCTGCTCTTGTAAAGCAAGAAAAATAAAAAGAAACAGAATTCTTGAAACCTTTGCGAGAAATTGAGGGGACACTGTTTTGATTTTATGAAAAAGCCAAAAAAAAAAAAAAACAGAGCTTTTAGGCTTTCAGAGACAGCTGAATCTAACATCTGACTTTACCTGAGGTAACATTTCAGTCTGCACTATCAAAGATTTCTGCGTGCTGCTTGTGCAACTGTATCACAGACATTACAAAACAGAGAGAAATGGCTGAGAGGGTTGTGCTGCCATGCAGAGAGACCTTGACGAGCAGGAGAACTGGGCAGAGAGAAACCTCATGAGGTTCAACAAAGGAAAGGGAAAAGTCCTGCACCTGGGGAAGCAGAACCCCCTCGTGCCAGCAGAGGCTGAGGGCCAACCAGCTGGTAAGCAGCTTTGCAAAGAATGACCTGGGGGCCCTGGTGGACAAGTGGATCATGGGTCAAAATGCACCCTCATGGCAAAGGCCAATGGTTTCCTGGGCTGCATTAGGAAGAATATTGCCAGCAGGTCAGGGAAATGATCCTTCCCCTCTACTCAGCCCTAGTGGGGCCATAGCTGGGTGCTAGGCCCATTTCTGAGCTCCCCAGTTTAAAAAAAAAAAATACATGGACACACTGGAGTGAGCATGAAGGTTCACAGACACAGTTAACAGATTGGAACATCTGTCATACAAGGAAAGGCTGAGAGAGCTGGGACTGTTTAGCCTGGAGAAGAGAAGGCTCAAGGGATCTCATCAGCACGTATAAATATCCGCTGGGAGGGTGTCAGGACGACTCTTCTCAGTGGTGCTCAGTTGCAGGATGAGAGGCAATGAGCTCAAACTCAAACACAGGAAGTTCCACTTGAACACACGAAAACACTTCCAGTGTTCAGCCACCCTCACAGTGAAGAGCAGGTTGCCCAGAGAGGTTTCCATCCTTGGAAATATTTAAAACCCAATTTGACACAGTCCTGGGCAATCTGCTCTAGTTTGAGCAGGGAGGTTGGACCAGATGTTCTCCAGAGGTCCCTTCCATCATTTTGTGATTCTATGAACTGATTTAGAGACTGCATAAAGGAACCTAACATTGTTATTTTCAAAACAATTAAGGTACTTATGTTTGTCGTTCTCTTGAAGGAGAGCAGTAATGCTCTTCAGGAATGAAAACAGGATCTAGCCTCAGAATGAGGTTGCGTGTCAGTATGGTTGTCTTCTAATATTTGATTTGCCAACAAACTGTAAACTAAATATTGGCATTATTGTTACTAGCGTGGCTGTTTATAGCTGCAAAGTATCCCTACTTAGAAGGGAGTAAGTATGAAGGCTATTTCAACTTTTTGCCAATGAACATTTGAAGAAGAAACATTTACAGTCCCTATCAGGTAGCACCCATATACCATGAGATGGATGTAACCACAAAGCAGGAGTAGAGAAATAATAGTTTGAAGATTACACTTATTTCAAAACAAGGCTGTTCTTGTATTAGCATACAGTCTGGCCCATTTTATGCAGCTGAAGAAGCACAAATGATGTCACTTGTAAACTGACTTGCAAATCTAACCCAAAAGTTTAGCAAGCTTCAAAGTAAAGGAGGATGTCATCTGAAATTGAAACATTCTGTAATATCTAAGGAATTCATCTTTAAAAGGCTTAACCTCGTGCGTAGGGGTCCCCTCTCAAAACCTTCATCCTTACTTATGAGAGCACAGAGCATCAACAAAGTACCTTACTACAGTTAAACAGGATCCCTGATTTTCTAGCCTGTGCTAGAAAGCCTACTTCTCCTAGCCACATTAGCCTACTTCTTTTAGCCATCTCCTTTACATACCCAATATAATGCTGGTCACTTTAATATTTTTACCCTCCCTACCTCTGTGAGATAGAGAAATCCTGTTATTCCTGTTTCACAGATAAGGAACTATTGAAGACACTAAGACTACAAAGATAAACTAATTAATAAAGCAGGCCAGGGACAGTTCTCTTGCCCTGTGGCCAAATCATATGAAAACCGCTTATACATATTGTTAAACTTCCTCCCCACCAAAAAAAAGTGTGACTTTGTTCATACTGCCATCTGAAAACCATTCCTAGCACCCACTGTGCCCCAAATAGCACCTCTGAAAATGCTAGTTGATACAGGCTAAAACTGTTCCAAAGTATATACTAGCAATCAAACTGTACAGACAAGTGCATACACCTTGAACCAATGCTCTACCCAGTTCAGTTCACTGCTACAGGTAGAGTTGAAGGGTAGTGTTCATATTACAGAACTGGTAATCTATACATCACTTATTTAACCAATTAGTCACCTAGACTCTCACTATAAATCAATGAAGATTGATAGGCATCTTCTGGAAAGTGATTCAACCCATTCTAAAGTCGGCACTTCCAGAAGGCAGTTTATTTCACTATCTCATCTCTGTATAAAGGGAACCTAGACAACTAGTTTAGACTAGTTTAGACTGGTTACGCAGTCTAAGTTCAGTGAAATGAGCATCATCTGAACACACAGGGGATGTGCAGCACAGCAAAACCAAAATTTTGCTATTTATGCTTTTAAATAGTCTAAGTCTTAATACTAATATTGCATTTTATCCAAATTACGCAGAAAATGTAACAGAAAAGTATATACTTGCCTTTCAAAGCGCTCAGTTCCCAGCTGTCTTTTGGTGATATCTAGTTCTGACTCTAGCTGAACCGTTGTATTTCTCAGCTGAGTAAAATCTCGACTTTGCACAGCACTGTAAATTCCATATAATTTAATTAGATAAGCAATTAAAAACCTCCAAGTACGTTATCAAACAAAATTATCCAAAATTAAAAGGGCAGCTATACCATGCATGCAACTGATGTTAAGAACATCTTAGGAGGTAAAATATAGCTCTACATGGAAAAGCATTTTAGGATGTAGCTGAGGAAACAGAAGCTGATTTTTAGTATCTTCTACTATTAAGGTAACCAAGATACTGTGGCCAGTTGCAAATGCAACTAGATATAAGCAATCTATGTGTATAGGTATACTGGAAAAAAAAAGAAAAAAAAAACACACACACACACACACACACAGCAGCTGAAAAACCTGCAATATTCTATTGGTCATTTACTCACAGTTTATTTTCTGCTAAAGCAAGCTGCTCCTTGAGGAGCTGAATTTCAGAGTCTCTTTCTTGCTCTGCTATCTGTGATTGCAATTCTTTCTCTCGACTGGACACAAGCAAAGACTCCAGGTTTTTCATAGATGCTCTTTCATTTGCCAGTTGTTTCCTGAGGAGTTCTATTTCAGAATGGGATGATTCGCAATCATTCTGCAGCTAAACAAAAATTTTAAACTTTTAGATGTATGCCTGTTAAGCCCACCAGCCATCTGTCATGGTAACCTTGAAAAAAAGAAGGCTGGTATCAATGACCCAAACTCATTCTCGCTCTAAGATGGTTGATTATCGTTATATACAGCCTCAATCAAAACCCACTGTCACCTTTATTAATTTATCCGGTGTACATATCTGACCATAAACATACTCGATACAAGCAGCCACGAACTGCTATGAAATACAAGAACTGATACACACAGACTCTTCATGTGAAAAACACAAACAGAATTATCAGCAGAAGGGAAATTATACATTTTGTTGATGCAAGAAATTGTTGATTAACCAGTTGCTTAGAGGAGATGACACCTGATCTAACAAACCAATATCTCCATCTCCATCAGGGTGATATTACATTTATTTTTACTTAAAGGAGCATTAAAAAAAAAAATCTAGGAAGGAAAAGTGAATACATTCCAAAACAAAAGATTAAACAATCATATTTCTTGGGGGACCTAAAAAAGAAGAATACATGTAAAGCCTAGTATGTTCCACTGAAAAAGGGGTTCTTTCTTAGGGATGCACGTAAAGTACAGAAAGAAAGAAAAAATAATCTCTGAGTCAGTATATCAAGAAAATCTGTATCATGTCAGCTGGACAAAGAGAGAGAAACCTGTCTGATTTAATCTTAGCCTAAGTCAACCACATGCCTTTTTTCCTTCATTTTTTCACCTATGCATTCTGATATGTCTGAGTCATTTTGGTATTGCAAACACTTTTAGTTGCATTTTACCTAAAGCTAGCTTGCATTAAGCATGATACTGCTTAGCCCAAGTTTCTGATAAATCTATAAACTGAGACATCTTAACAAACACTCCAGGTCTCCAGCATGCTCCTCAGAATATTCACGAAATAACCATTCATGTGTCCAAAGCAGGAAGACACTGAGAACTCAAACCAGAGGCCAACAGGAAAAAAAAAGTATCTTTCACTTTCCAAAGCAACCCCAATTATTTGGTTTTACCAAAAAAAAGTAAAAGATTTCCCTAGTCTGAAAGATCCAATTTTCCATTAACTGTCAATCAAAAATCCCTTGCCTATAAAGCGTTGCTACTCTAATTTTGTATGTCAAGACAAAAGAATGCTGAAAACTGGAGACAGCGTAAATTAAAAGAAAATAAATAGCATTAGAAATACCAAAAAACAACATTATTTGGCATTAGGTTTAGTTTCCACTTCTAAATATACATATGCTGCAAAAAAATTCTTGTCATGCAGATCTCTGCAATATCACGATATGTAAACTAAGAGCCCTAACTGAAGGTTTTACATGGCTGATGAAAGACTACTGGTTGAAAGGTATGAGAACACTAGTGAAAATTTCCCAGCTTCAGAACTTTCTCCAAACTCTCCATTTGCCTTTTCTGTGTTTTTCTCTCCTGAAACTGTTGTTTCTCTCCACCGTCCACAGGAGGCCCCTTTCCTGATGATCTCACACAACCACACATACCTTTCAACCAGTAGGAAGCCTCCCAGTCAAATCAGATCTCGTGACAGCTTCAGACAAACGTCTGGAAATATGCCCTATCAAAACCAACTCAGAGCATTCCACAGCTACACAAAAGACATCACACAGTGCATTTGGTGGGAACAACCAACCAACTCTCAAACAGCAAGTTTAGCCATAACACATAATAGTGGCATAATGGAATGCTAGAAGCTTGTAAAGAAACAAGAAATTATCTCACCTGAGCTAGAGCAGAGTGATAGAACTATACCAAAAAGATCTGAACAATCTGAATAAGCATGACATTTTTCAGAGTTTATCTTCCTTGATTTTTAAAAAATTGGCCAATCAAACATTGATTTTATAGTTTTTATAAATATCAATGTCAAAAGAAACTTATTTTCGAGAAAAGTTAAGGAGAGACTATTAAGGATATAATGTTACTTACTCCCAACAGCAGTCAAGCACGTTCATGTCCACGTCAAGGTGCTTTGCTAACAAACTACTTCAGCTATTCTACTTATCGATAATAAGTGACTGGATCTAAAATCTAGGACATGTTTCAGGAAAACAATTAGTAATTTTAAGTCCTGAATTTTGAGTGTTCAAAGTGAAACCTCTCAAAGCAGTCAGCTCTTCAGATAGTATACAGCATCCACCCTCTGAGGAATAAGCCCTTGAGGTATGTCAAATTAAACATAAAAAATATATATATTGAAAGAGTACAGCTCAACAGGAGGCTTCTTTGATTACTTTAGATCTCAAAGTAGTTTCAGATCCCTTAAGTACAACTTTAATATAAAACTGTTTTTAGAATATATTTCACATACCCTTTCTACTTCCTCTGCACTGGAGGTTAACTGCCGATTTAACAGTTCTTTGCCTGCATCCAATTTAATGCAAAGTTCTTGTGTAGATGTGAGATCCGCAAGTACAGAGACTTTCTCCCGTTGCAAGTTTTGAAGCTCTCCTTCCATTTTCACAAGAGACTTGTTTAAGGTAGAAATCTGAGACTTGTATGCTTTTTCTGTTGTTAGATGCTATAATAAAGCATTGCCAGATAATTAAAACTGTACCGCAAAGAAAATATAAAACTGTTTCCAATATCCTAGAAAAACTTCTATATAGCTGTGGTGAATTTGAAAAGACAGCAGTAATTGTTCTGGAGTAAACTTTAAAATTACTTCTTTAAATAACGCCCACATATAAAACAACTAGAAAACAAGAATTCTTGCTTCTGACAGCAAAATCAGCTTCTGACATTTTCATCTCCCTTCCTAGGATTCTGCTCTTCCTGCAGAGCTAATAAGGTTCTAAATTCTGCATTTGGCCCCATTTTTAGTTTCAGAATAGACCCTCTTATTTTAAGAGGAAATTCTGGCATGTAAAAGAGCAATGAATGTTGAGATACTGTCAGTAATATTTATACAGCTGTCATGCATAAAATGAGGCATGACTAAGAGATGACAGAAGTCACACTAAAGAGAAAGTCACAAGCTAGCAGCAACAGTTCTGACTGGAGGCATTTAGATTTTTCTGTATTTTACATTAACAAAAATTTTTCAGAAAGTGCCTGTACTTTTCCAGCGACACCTGACTTGTATTTCTGGACACTTCTAACCTCTTAATTTTCCGTTGGTGGCAGAATGAGTCTGGAAGACGGACGAAAACCAGGAGAGAGATAAAGCACTGTGACTTCCTTAAAGGATTTCTTAGGAGTGAGAACAAAAAGGGATGATTGTATGGGGAGCATCTCATTAGTTCTAGCTTTCTCTCTTGCCAGTGTTCAAGTTTTGGAAACTAAACTCATACCATAAAAAAAACACAAAGAACACAGGACAGCACTAAGCACATACAATACCAACTCCACATTAAGATAAAACTTTTATAGAAAGTAAAAATATACAATAAAAACTTTTGCATCCAAGATACATGTCTGACATGTAACTCCTATAAACCCAAAGATACTATCCGCCTGGAATTCTGACTCAATTTATTGATATAGTTTTCACAGAGAGGCCTCTCTGTTCCTGTACTCAATATCAGGCATGTGGGAAGGAGTTAGAAAGATGAAATTTCCTCCCATTTGAGGCTGGCTGGACAAATTAGAATTATATACAGGTTTTATTAGATTCAAAACCTGTCAAAATCTGCAATAAAATCTTCGGGCGCTGCTTTGCCACTGCTATGTTTCCATCCCTTTTCTGAAAGGCAGCAGCTCAGTTCTTCTTGAGTATCTAATGTGCATGGGTGTCCTCAGTGTATGATATTCAGGACACAGAGATGATCTGCAGCAAAATCTATAACAACCCCAAACAAGAATATCATTTTATATCTATAAAATATTTGCAAAGCTATGCTGTGCGTTGTCCCTTTAGGGGACCCCTAAAGCACTGGAAGGAAGGCTGAAAAACTGGAAGCAATAAAAGGAGGGACAGAAATACAGTATGTGACAGAACAGTAGGTATACTTCACGTATGCTGTGGAGTTCTGTGCAGTTATATCTTTGCTCATTCCAAACATGAGAGCAGTTCATGATTCTTTTTCTTGACTTATGGTATTATTTTTAAGCTTTGTTAGTTTTTTCCCCTCCCTCCCTCCCTCCCTCCAAGTGTGGCTGTTGGAATTCTAGTTATGTTATCAACATAAATTACATACAGTTCATTTGAACAACCCTGCAGTATGGGTAGAAGTGGTATTAAGACTACCTAATTTGAAACAATATACCAGACCATCTCTAGCATGACCTATGGAAACAATGGTCTTAACATACTTGCTCCATCTCTATTTCAAGGGCCTCGATTCTTTCTTTCAACCTGCGGTTCTCAGACTCTGCACTGATTAGCACCAGTCTAACAGAGCTACAATCTGCTTCTGCTTGATGGCATTTTGTTTCCCAGCTTTCTTCTTTTTCACAGGCTTTGTGGTAATTCTCCAAAAGCTCACAGTTCTCTCTCTCCTAAAACATAAAGCTTGTTTGTTTAACGAGTTACAATAAGCTTCACTAGATAGGGACATGCATAGGTCTAGAAGTATAACATATAACATGGTACTGGATTTTATCTCTCTATTTGAAAACTTTGCCATTTAGCCAAAATATTGAGAGACTTCTCAGGAATCAGTGTTTTGTTTAAGATGGCCACATTTTGATGCTCAAGAGACATCTGTTAAAAATGGCTAAATTAACATAAAAAAATGTGAGGTATAGCAATATATTGCAGAAATATTTTATTTGCTGTTAATCCCATATGGTAAAATAAGGAGAAAGATTCCCAAATCCCTGTATTATTCACTTACTCAACTTTTAAAGTTTAGTATATATACACACATATGTACATCAAAAAAAAAAGAAAAAAAAACAAGAAAATGCATTCAAACTATTACAATTGTACTTGAAGAACTCAAATAAGTTTCAGCTAAGAAGCAAAATCTTTCACAGAAAAATAGTTAAAATTTCAATTTTTGTTAAAATAATAGCTTTTACTAACAGATTAAATCTACATACTCACTTTAGACTTCAGCATACCCTTCAGCCTGACAATATCTTTATTTGAATCCTGGGCTTTCAACTTCATATCATCAAGCTCATTCTGGTACTGTGCTAGTTTTTTATGCAGTACCTGTAAAGAAAGATTTGTTTCAAAGGTTAAAGCACAGTTTGTACCTTTATAAAAAGCAGAATTAGTGCATAACTAAAGCTTATGGCTTTATTAACTAGATCTTTAAAGGCTACATTAAATATAAACTATGTATATTTCTACAAACAAAATTTTGCATTTATCAACAATATTTCTGTTTTTGACTTGTAAGTAACATCAAGTCTTCTTAAAAAGAAGAAAAAAAGTAAATTGGGAAATATAACAGTTTAGCCCCTTCCCTCCCCCCCCCCCCCCCCAAAAAAAAAAAAGATGGATGAGCTTTTGAGTAGCTAGGTGGTCATAAGAGAAGAGCCTGAGCCCTTAAAGAGCAGAGCTCAAAGTCAGCTCACCCTTTGTTACATACTGCAGCCTCTTAAAAAGCCACACTTCAGAAAGTAGAAGACAACTAGAAAACTCAATTAACTAACCTAGTGATTATCTCCTAATCAGGATGAAGAAAGCCACACGTATTAGGAGGAAGCACACAGAAGTTCTAGCAATTACTGCTTGAGAGACAGAAGAAGCAGTGGGGTGAGGGGAGTAGCAGAAAGGATGTCTAACTTCCCTTTTCAAAAACTTCCTCACAGAATTACTAAGAGAACACTCAGCTGCAAGAAGGAATATGCAGGAAAAAATATGTAGGAAACCCCTGTTCCTGTGTGGAAAGGCTATGAGTTGCTGAGGTAGGTATTCTGGGATTCTGTGAACTTTTTCATAAGCTGTACTGAAGAAATGAGAATGCTACTTTAAATAATTTGTATTTCACCCGAGCCTAGAGGAACCAGTACATGTTGTATAGGCAAGCCCTTAAAAAATTAATTGATGTTCTCATGATGCCAAGATTTTTTTTTCATTTCTAACTACTTCTACAAGCATCCAGGCACATTGCAAAGAAAAACAGGGAGCTTCTGAAAGTCACTAGAAGCACAAAGAAGCAGCAAGCTGTTTTGTAACCAGCTGACCATATCGGTAACAACTGGGATCCTGAGAGAAGGTTCAGAAGCGTAATTCACTGGAGTAATCTCTTTCAGCAAACCATGTTTGTACAGATACGATTAAAGTTATTAGGGACCTGGAACTTCCTAGCATCTTAAAAAGGGGCTCTAAGGGAAAAAGACTAATACGTTTGAGAGAAGAGAGTTACTTAGAATTGAAGTTGTCTCGTCTAATTTTTGCAATGTAGAATTAGGCACCTGATCTAAACTAGTTACTCTATAACAAATGGAGAGAGAGAGAGGTAGGATGAACCACTTCAAATATTTGGATGGGATGAATCTCCTTCTGCAGGACTTTTCTTCACTTAAAAACAGAGCCTTAATGACTTAAGAATTTCATACAGCTAAAATCAGGTGAAACTGCTCCTTCAAAACTGGGTAGTATTTCCAGAACAAGAGAAAATCGGGAGAGAGGAAAGTATTTTCCAAGAGAAAACAGTAGAACAAGCATAGAGGAGAAAGAGCAAGCATCAGAAAATCATAAATGAAGGAAAAAGGTTGAATAAAAAGAAGAAAAAACAGAATATCACACAGGGATGACCTACTACAGCTTAAATTCTAGCTTTTTGGAAAACGCACTGAAGTACAAACAATCCGTGTATGAGATGACAATTTAGTTTAAGCGTTTTAGCCACTTTCATCAGTAACTGCGTACAGATAAATAACATATTAGATAATGGAGTGTTGTATTATAATTAAATATTTATTTTCTTTTATCCAAAAGCCACTTCAAAGGAAAGTAAATACAATACTGCTAATAAATTGTTTAGCTTTCATAAATACATACTGTGTTAAAATTACTAGCAAGTCAAATTCATAAGCTGGTAAACGCTCTGGGCCAGTCACAGTACAATATAAGAAACACCTTCTCCCTCCTTATAGTACTTTTCCATATAAGCACTGGTTATAACTGCCACAGTGATTTTACTTAAAGATTAACAAAAAAACTATTAATTAGCTGATCCTCAAGACAATAGCTGTACCATTACATAAAAACAGCCAGTCCTCTTTATACAAGTGAGCTGACCAATAAGGGTAAATCAGAGTGTGAAATAAGGGTAAATCAGCGTATGAAAAATGAGATTAAAACTAGTTTGCAGATCTGTTTTTCACATGATAGCCCACAAATTCTAGGCACCACTTAACAATACACAGTTTTCCTTTTTAAGCAAGGGTTTTCTATACAGATATACCTGATTTTCTTGCTTAATATTAGAAAGATGCTCTTGTAACCTGCCATTCTCCTGAGCTAATGATTCTCTGTGCTTCTGTGTCTCTGCAAGTTCATCACTGGTTTCTTCTAGCTGTTGATGCAAACTGGTGATATCTTTCTCACAGATACAGAGAGCTTCAGCAGATTTTCTATGCAGCAAATAATAAATACTTCAGGTATGACAACATTGCCCAACCTAGTACAAATGATAGCTTTTCTAGTAGTTAAGTTTTTAAAGCATGAAACAAAGTTATACCATTTTAATATTTTTAGAGTAAAAAAAAAAAAAAAACCCTATCCATTAGCACATTCTGTGATTCAATTTTTGAGTTAGTACTTTTATAGATGTCATCAATTAATCAAAATATTAAAATGTACTTGAAATCTTAGCCTTACTTTGTGGAATGCTCCAACTCAGAAATCAGAATCTTGAAATCTGAAATGTTTTTTTCCTTAAAAAGAAACATATAATTAAAAAAACCATTTCTCCTCAGTTAATAAACAGAAACATTTAAATACGTTTTCCTTCTGTTAACTGTTTTATTTTTCAGCTTCATTTAACTATTTAATGCAAAAAGGATTCCATTTTTCCAAGTTTCATCATGTTTAGAGTTGAAACTTCTGATAATCTATTTTGCCAAATAAAGGAACAAGTATTATTAACCTCTGTAAAATATATCCTTTTTAAAATTAAATTTCTTTATTCTTTGTAGTTCTAAAAGGTAGTTTTTGGCTCACACTCCCCAAACTAAATTATATCTTCTATTAGATAAGCTGTTATGGCTTTTCGACAATGAATAAACTACCAGAGTCTGGTAGTTTTTAAACGATAAAACAAGAATTCCATCACTTTTTTTTTTTCATAAAGAAGCTAGCATGAAGTGTATCACGTCACTGCCTTTGGATAAAAATATTAAAAGGAGCATAAACAAGCTAAGGAAGTGTCTTTCATTGGCAACGCAAGAGACATTAGAGATAGCTCTCTCTTCCCTAAAATAACACCGTTTTACAATTTTAAAATGCAAACTAGATGCTTATGCCAATATGCTTTCTTTAATGTCATTTTGTTAAAATCAGTGCAAATCCTTAACAGTTATACCAGATAAAAAATACCATATTTAGTTTGGCCTAACCCAACGCCCAGAGGAGTTAAGCTGAAGTGAAAGAAAATGTCTCAGAACTAAGAACTAAGCAGCTTTACTGTATAGTTTGAATTCACACTGTGCAATTCAATTGATGCAATTTTCTTAGGTAAACTAGTCCTTAAGGTGAAAAGGATATCATATAAATGCATCTTCAATGACAATAAAGTCAGTGTTATTTAGCACTCCTTATCTTTAACATAAATGGATCCCAAGAAATAATTTAGGCTGAATTTTAAGATACACAAAATATTTTATTGGCTACTTCACTCCTCTCCACTTCAGGAAAATAATGAAAATCTGCTCTCTTGAAAAACACTTGAACTTGGACCATACAAAACACCAAACAGGAGATGCTTGCTCAACATTGCTCAAACCTAATGCTCTGAAAGTTAAAATGAGTTTTATTGTTGCCTTCAACACTGTCTGCCTTCAAACTGAAGGAGAACTTGGTCAGCACTGAGCACTATTGCAGATAACCAACACAGGATGGGTGTGATGACCAAAAAGGTCCTTTTGCTCTTTATCTTTTGTGATTCCACAGCTCATTCTGACTATTTACATGTTAGAACGTACTTTAATTGTCAGACTTTCTTCAAGAGTAGCAATCTTCTTTTTTCCTTCTTTGACACAGTCTTGCAAAGTTTCCTTTTCTTTATCAAGTTGTGTAATTGTTTCTTTCAAAGCACAGATCTCCTCTTCTTGTATAAGACTTTGTTTTGAAAAGTTATCTGGACATAATCACAAAGGTCTCATTTTTATTAACTTAACTCAACCCACTTGAAATAAAAATTATTTTGATATACTTCTGTAGCAAAGATGATGACAAAAACATGACAAAAGCTCCCCTTCAGGAAAACACTGAAGCATGTACTTTTTCATAAACATATAAATAATCCTACTGATATTTACAGAACTGCATTCTTTGTTACATCAATGCCATAAGTTGCTTGATTCAAGAAACCTATCTTTATTTAAACAGCAAATGTTCAGATCATTAAAAATAACTTTCTCAGGTGTTGTAACAACAAAGGGCTTAATAAACAAATTTACAAGAGATAGAAGCAATGTATAGACTACAGCCTGTAATGACCGACATGAAGAAGTAGAGATGGATACCCTGATGTTTGCCTGTTTTTCCTGAGACTGTCCTTTCGTCCACTGAACTTCACGCAAAAGTGAATAAACGTGATTTTTTTTTATAAAATTCAACACCACGTAAAAAGCTTGTAAATACTTATTCCAAAGTCAAATTTGAAAAGATATCTCCCCCTATCCTCATGCAGCTGAAAGTGTTACACATTACATTTACCTTTAAGTGGTCAGAGAAACAATCCTTATATGACCTCCAGACATTGCATTCACAGGAGAGAATCACAGAAACTCTTCTTACAGTGAATCTTACTTCTCATACAAAGCACGCAATTTGCAAATTACTCTTTAAACACCAGTGTAATTAGGCTTATCAAATGCTACTTTGTTAACCACTTCCAGGAGATAAAACATCCAAAGTAAAATCACCTACAGCTCTGACATTCGGGGACATAATATATAGCATATATTCACGGTCCGTGTTTTTTCCACAGACCCTCTCCCTGTTTCAAAACACAAGAAGAAAGGTGCTCGAATTTCCACCTCATAATTTTGGATGTATGGCTCTGGAATCTGCTAACATAGTGTTCAAACCTTGCTCTAATGAAAATTCTAAGAAGCAAAGGAGTGTTATCGCAATTTTATAGAGAAGGAATGGAGGTACAAAGACCAGTGCAAAATATCTGATAATTAGATTATTAAATAACATCTGATAATTATCTGATAATTTGAGATGCCCACATCAAAAACCTAAATTTTCAGGATAGAGAATATGTTCAAAAAATAACAATGTATTGATGCCACAGCTGTAAGCGCTCAACATTTCTGAAAATCAATAACCAAAGTTTTGTACCAGACATCCTGAAAATAGGTCATACGTATAATTAGTGATCAGTTCTTAAAAGTCTGGTTGTGCATCACCCAAAAATTCTACAGTGCAATAGTACATACAGTAATAATATAAAATACTGCATAGTAATATTTAACAGCTTTAACAGTGACCGTGCTTTTCTCTTTCTGCAATTATCTGATTTATTCGTTGTACTTTCAGCTAAGGAGAAAATCTTACACACAAGCTTGCTTCACTAGACAAGATTGGTTTACTCCCTACAAGACTGTGTAAAAGGTGCAGCAATAGAAAAACACCATGACAGTGCAATTAAAGACAACACCCTAAGTTAAAAAACACAGAGGTTTATTTATTAAATAGTATAGACAACTTGAAGTTTGGCAATTCCCTACTTTTTAGTGTTTATCTCTGTGGTTAGTTACTTAATTTGTGTGAAAAGCGAAAAACAGGGTTTGAATTCCCATCACGCACATATTGACCTAGAAGACAAATTGTCAACAGGACTAAATTGCCATTCTCTCTGTGGACAAGCCCTGCAAAGAGCCACCTTGCTAAGTTCAAATTCTTTTGCTGACAAGAGAAGATAAGATGAGACTTGGGACTCCTAAGTTCCGTTCCAGGCTCCAAAAGGCAAAAGGCTCTCTTGCGGGCACAAACACTTTCCTTCCAGCTTCTCCAGTTCTGCCTCTCTAAACAGTACTGATAGCTGCTCATCCTTTCTTTCCACTTTGGTCAGCCTCAAATCTTATGGTTTCTCATCCTAGTCTATTTCCCTACCAGTCATAAATTCCTAATTCACATTTTCTGTCTCAGTTTCTCCTTTTACTTGCAATATTTCTACTACTGCTCCTACTTCCAGCTTTACTGTCCAAGTCCTAAATCCTTTGTGTGTATAGCTGCTCTCAGATTCTAGTCACCTAAGTCCTACCCACCATCTCTGGACTAGTCATCCAGGTTCAAGATCTTTCCAGTCTCTCTAACCACCAGCTCTCCTCATTGCATGTATCCAGTCCTTCTTCATTCCCTCTGATTGCTTTATTAATTTTCAGTCTCTGTTTTCTTGCACGGCCCGAGCTCTCCCTCGCTCCTTATTCATATACTCTTTCTCTGTCCACTGGCTCCCAGTCTCACTGTTTCGTATTTACAGTTTCCCTGGACAAACAATCCTCCTTGTTGCAAATTCTTTTCCAGTCAGCATCCCTATTCTTCACTTGTCCCTTGGCTCTTCATTAAGTTCACTTTTCCCACCTTCTCCACCAGGATGAGGCTGCCCCATATAAATTGTAATCTCAATATCCTTTCCTTATCAGTCCTGCAGTTAAAAATCTCCAAAGTTTCTTATCTCAGTGCACTCTCCCTTCACACCTCCTCCCTCCACACCTTCAGATCAACATCTTCCTCTGTTATCCCTGTGCTGATAGGACAAAGGAGAGCACAAGAATGAGAGTCTCCATTAATTTCAAGATTTTTTGCCTGGACTTGCCTCAGAGCTATAAAAAATCCTATGAACTCTGGACTGCAACATGCTTCAATCAGATGATATCTCAGATGCCAAATTCAGCATTCACATCTGTAATTTTTCTGAGGCTTAAAATATACTTAATTTTGATACATTTCTTGGGAATGATTAAAAGCATATAATGGCATAGAGGCTACCATGCCCTATCAAACATTAAGTCCCTACTTCAACATACAGGAGGTCTAGAACCTCTTAACAAGGTATGTGTATTTTAATGTGGACAAAACATCTTTTTTCTCTAGCATTCTCAGCAGTGGCTTAAACACCTTAGCTGAAACATTAAAAAAATTAAGTTCACTTTCATCTGAATGAAATGTTTCAATCCAAATCACTGAAGTTTCAAAGGTGTAAGTAATAGAAAACAAGGTATTTTAATAGCATAAGGCAACTCTAACATTAGTTGCCACTAGTTATAGGTTACCTTTATTTTCCCTTCACAAATTCACTTCTGCATTTCAGTGTGGGAACAGATTATGTCAATTGCATCTACAGAAAAGTTCTATTTTTGGAAGTGGTAAGATATTCCTTAGCAGGCTACAAATAATTCCTATATCTACCTCCTTTACTCCTCTAATGTAAAAAAAGTTGTAACTTATGACATAGGATATATACTCAAAAGGATGCTTTCTTGATTGCAACCTCATCATTTATGTATGCTGAGAGGTGTTACTGGCACCTTAGTGGACCATAAATCTAACTGATATGCTCAAACACTGCACATAGGTACCAACATATATTGTTCAGCTGACAGTATGAGTGGTCACTAAAATTTATTTACAAAAGATTTATTAGGTCATTTTAAAATGCATAAACCTTCAAATATTGAAAGAAAACAGATGTTTTGACCTTGAACAGTTAAAACTGTTAAACACATTTGTATTTGCATTAAACACTTTTTTATTCAGCTCAAAAGAAATGAAAGAAAAAAAAAGCAATAATATACCAATTAGTTTAATGAATTTTATTAAAACAAAAGTGTCTGTCACTCACCAATTTTTTCATCCAAAAGCATAATTTTCTCTTGGGTAAGTTGTAATTCATATTTTTTCTTAGCAAGGCTTTGCTGAGTCTCTGAAAGACTCTGTTCTGTCTTTTCATTCAATAAACTGGAAAAGCAAAAGTATTAATCAGGAAAATTCAGACATTCACATATGACTTTCGTTTTTGGCATATCACTAAAACTGCAAAAGTTAATCAAAACCAAGATTCATTGGTACATTTTATACTATTTGGGATATTTCATTAACGTTAACCTTAATCCCTCCATATTAAAGTCTGAATATTCCTGCAAAGAATCACAACAAAAATAAGATTTGGGGTTTTTTTGGTTCACCTGTTCTAAACTTGTAAAAAAATAATTAAAATCTTTACTTGGGATATACATTGGAATGTTTGACCTGTTTCAAGTTATGTCTGTGAGGTGTGCGTTCACACCATGTAGCAATGTTAATGCCTTCTCAGACTTCTTAAGAAAACCAAGAGAAGTATTAATATGACATTGGGGGAGAAGAAAAACATATTTTACTAGTAGCAATTAATCCTCAAGAAAACAATTTTTACAGTGTTCATAAAGCTGATAACTTGTTAGGAAGCAGTAATAACTTAGAACCAGATTTCTCAAAGGAGTTCTTGTTATTTTAGAAATCATAGCTTCCTTAATGAAGTATTGTGGGGCACCACCATTAGGAATCACAATAACGCACTCTAGCATCCAGCTTTCCTGCCAATCAAAGTCCAACAAAAAGCTACAACAGCCATGAAACAACTACATCAGTCACTTGTAAGGAAACAGAGGACTAGAAGAATATTTGTCTGACTTATATTTAAGGAAATCCACTAAAAAAAGAAGTCTCAGTATCTTCTCTTGCAATCTGTTCATTCTCTAGCCCATAGGTGCTTCTGTGACCTAGTCCGCCTCTTCTCTCTGCACAAACTTCACAAACACTTGATCTCTCCCGCCATTAAGTAAATTCTCCTGGTTTTTTTTGCCCTCACTGACCTATGCCTTCTTCCCTAAAGGCCTTGCTTGAGTCTAGTACCACTATGTGTTCCTAATGACGGTTAGGAGCACCAGTCCAGCAGCAGGCCACAAACCCTATACGAGGCTTCACTTTCGTTTCCTCTTCCTGGAAAAGTTCTGAGATTGAGAAGAGGATGCTTGAAGCTAACTAAACATGTGCTCCATAGTTTATGTATGTTTGCTTGCTTCTATAAAATAAACAATCAAAAATACTGAAAAAAAAATTATTTTTAAAAAAAGGTTCAATGTCTACTCAACTATACCAAAAAACATCAAGCTTCACAGCCTGTAACAGAAAGCTCCTAAACCTATGCTGGAGTGAATTTTACTTTTTTACTTGAAGGTGTTTTTCAGCATGCCTGGAATATCAGCAGGCCAAGAACATTTTACATGTAAATGAAGCAAAGGAAAGCAAGTTCATTTCAAAAAGTAGGGCGGTTCATAAGAACAACTATCATCAGTTCCTTTTGCTTTGCCCTAAATAACAGTTATGAAAATCAACAAACTCATGTTATTCATTACACTAAAGCAATTATATGCCTTGACTTACCGAAGTGAAACATATTCGACTTTCTGTCGGCTCAATTCAGTTTCAGAGTCCAGCGCTCTTCTTGCCAAGGTTGTCATCTCTGTTTCCAGAGAATCTACAGTCTCTTTCATTAGTGCCAGTTTGGACATTTGTTCTAACCGTTCACTATCTAGCTATAAATACAATTAAACATGAGAAGCTGCAAAAAGCTGATTTCTATAAAGCATTTCTCCTATTAATTCTACCTCTACTCTATTTTTAACACAAATCTTTTACTGAAGGAGAGATTTCCAAGTATCTCCTCTACTCAGGGCCTGATTCGAAGCCTAACGAAGGCAGCTGACAAAGAACGGAAATAGGATTCTCACTTTTCCTTCAAATGCCTATCTTTCAGATCTCTAGGAATATTTTGGTTTATTAATGTAAATTTTGGCTCGGTAATTATGCCCAAGTACAAAAAGTCTGACATTTATCAACATTAAAAGCTTTTAGTGAGGACAGAAGACACTATTATGGCTCTGAGAAGGGAGAAATCACAGTGCAGGATACAACACTACAACGGATAGAGTGAGGCCTCTATTAAGTCATATAGCTATGCTAGTAACTGGATAGAGAAATTACTCTAAAACAATTACATAAAGTACCATATGATCGAGTTACCACCATAAAGCCTTTAAGTCTGTACCTAGAACAAAGAACTACTTCAGAAAGTCTTGTTTGTACTCAGGCAAAGGTATAATAAAATCTTAAAAGTTAAAAAAATGCATTTGATTTGATAAATCTTTCAAATCAGCTCTTTCAAGGTAAAAAAAAATTTCACCTCATCTCTCTCCTTATTTACTGATTCTTTCTGTATTAAATTTTATGTTACTACAATCAAAGGTCAGACCACTGAAGAGCAAATCAATAAGACTACGGTATGCAGTAACTTTCTCAGTATTAAGTGCAATAAATTGAATACTGAAGTGTCATCCTCAGAGGATACCAAATCAACTGACGACAGAAAACAATGTAGTTAAAACAGGACTATTCCCAAAATACACTACACACCGTATGTGAAGCATGTGATTAAAGCTGATTTACTGCTCAGAACACTCAGAACTATTGAAGCCTATAATGTATTCTTCATTATGGAGGCAGTCAGTTTAATATTATAATCCTTGGAACTATACATTTAAGCTTTGTAGTAAACATGTTGAAGGGGAAAGATGAAGAATGATGATCAGAACGATCAGAATTTCTAACCACAGGGTCTAGGAGAAAGAGACACTACAGAAATCACTGTTTATCCACTTAAAAATCAAGCTCTTACAAGACTATATATACACTTAAGATGTATATGCGTGTTATTAATATGTTTATTTTCTATTCAAGAGCCTTATATTAGCAAAAAATGGCACCCATACGTAACTTAAACCATTTTAACTTAAAATAGGACTTTGTCAGAGCACTACAATTACAGACCTGATCTTAACAATACAGGGTCATAAAATAATGCAGGTCGGAAGGCACCTCATGAGGTCTCTAGTCCAACCTCCTGCTCAAAGCAGGGCCAACTCTGAGGTCTGACCAGGTTGCTCACGACTTTATCCAGTCAGGTTCTGAAAACCTCCAAGGACGGAAACTGCTCAGCCTGCTTGGCAACCTGCTCCACTGCTTGTCTACTGCATGGGGAAAAAGTGTTCCCTTGTATCCAGTCTGAACCTGTCTTATTTCAATTTATCCCTCTTGTTGCACATCTTTCCACCATGCACCACCATGAAGAGCCTGGCTCTGTCTTCCTGATGACCTCTTTGTAGGATAGACCCCTGTGGTGTTCCAGGCAGAGTATGACCCATTAATGACTAACTCTCTGAGCCCAACCATCCAAACAACTTTTTCCCCATCTAGTTGTCCACTCATCCAGACCATAACATCCTAATTTCAATACAAGAATATTGTGGGTAACAGTGTTGAAAGCCTTGCTAAAGTCTAGGTAAATGACATTCCCTAGTCTCCCCTTGTCCAGTCATGTCATCACAGATGACAATCAGTTTGGTCCTGCAGGATTAACCATAAATATCACCTGTATTACATTTACAATTCCATAAATAAATTATTTTCCCTTACATTCTGAACTGTTGTTTCCAGCTCTTCAATTCTCTGTTCCAAATGAGCCTTCTCATTAAATGCAGTCTCTTGGGAAATCTGCAACAAATCACAATAAAAAAATCACATATAGAATAAGTCAGAACTCACCACAGATGTGTAATGCAGGTAACTCCCAATATTGGAATAGAAATCTTTAGCAATTCTAATTACACAGCTAAATAAATTGCATGTTAAAATAAGCTTGAGTGAAATAAACCTTTAACTGCTCCCTGAGGCTATCACGTTCTGTAGTCATCCTTCGGAAATCAGATAGTGCTGTATCCCTTTCTGTCTCCACACGCCTTAGGATAGCTTGAGCTGTCACAGTACTTTTAGCAGTCTTCGGGCATTTGATAACTTCCCGACGAAGTCGAGATATCTCTTCCTGTGCCTGTTATTAAAAACAACAGTATACTGGAAATATGCAATAGATAATATAATGTATTACTGTACACATAAATCACAAATAGTATCAGTTTAAGAATTTCCATCAGAACTACTCAGTAAAGAATAGATTTTTATTCTAAAAAGCCTGCAAAAAAGAAATCATCAGTGAAGAAAAAGTTAATTATCCTTTTAATTCACATCATGGTACATTTAGTTTTTAGTACTGAAATACATTTATGGAAGAGAATAAGAACAAAAAACTTCTAGCATTCATGAGACTCTTTAGTAATATTTTCAAATTAAACTATTTCAGGTGCTTGGTATAAATATTTGTGTTTTACACTTCAGAATTGTAAAATCTTCCACTATGGGGAAAAATTATAACTAGAATTAGTAATGAGGTATATGGCTGGTAATACCAGCACCATCTCCAAAACTATGCATTACTGAAGACAAAGAAAATGCATACATCATTTGATTCAGGAAAGCATTCTTATTCAAGATAGGGCTTATAAAATTGTATTTAAGCAACAGATTCACATCACAGAATTTTCAAAACATAATTTTTTTTTTATTTTTAAAATAAATGCCTTGCAGTCTTTGTTTTTCAAACAAAGAAACAGAATAGGACTTTTTTGTGTACATCACCTTAAGTTATTTCATTAATCACACTAATATAAATAAAATTACCCGTTCATAAAGAATGACAACTTTGTCTCTTTCAGCTGTTAAAACCTTGATGTTACCCTGAATTTCTGCCACATGGCGCTCATATTTTTCCAGCATTGACTTAAGTTCTTCACGTTCTCTCAATATTTTCAGAACTTCTGGATCAGAACTCGCTCCCTTAAAGAATAATGTTACATAAAGTTAAAGTAAAGGAAGATAGGCTTTCTTCATATTTCTGGTTTGGAAATTTCCATAGGAGATGTAATAAGCCTACAACCTAAAAACTTGAAGACCATCAAGGCCATACAGTCATATCCATTAGTACTAGAGACCAGTTATGCACACCATTTTTCCAAAATACACATTTATTTTGAGCAGCAAAGGCTATCACAAAATTGTACTATCAACCGTCTTAAGAAATATTTAAAAAGTAACCAGTTGTCAGTAACTGTTTAAAGCGATAAACATACATTCAGAGTGAAGCAGCAGTTAACTACACGTTATTTGCTGTTTCCTATCACATGCAACCTTCTGTTCATAATCAGTTAGTTTTTCTTACTGGTAATTATGGCTTTGGTAGCGTGGCATCACATAAATGAGTATTTAAAAGAAATGCACTCCTCCTTTCCCGCAACATTTTCCAAGCTCACCTGGATGGCTGAAAATCTTTTTGACATGCTGCCACAAGAAGGCCTCTGCCTAGGACTTGAAGATGCGTTTCTAAGTATTTTCTGCAAATTCTCAACCTCACTTTTATAGCAGTCTCTGTCCTCTTGCAATGTCTCAGTAAAGATACCAAGCCTTGAAGGTGACTTCCCTTGCTTTTTTTCAGCTTCTGCTTCTAAAATAACCTGAATCTAGCAAAAATTCGAGAGAGAGATGCATTAATTTTGTATAAATATTACTGCAAATCCAGCATTTTGGCTTAATTATTCTAGTGTGAAGGAACATTTTGGACATGTTTTCTAGTTTGGCTAGGCTGAAAACATGCTATTTAGCAATAATAAACTTAATCTAGAGGGGAATCTGTTCAATTTTTGTCTTCAGATACAGCCCAAGTTCAGGAAAAAGAGTAAGAGGTAAGTTACTCTCAGGTGAGTGAATGAGAAAAGAAGCATGAGATACCTTTTCCCAGATCTGTATTAACAAGAAACTTCAAAATGGGGACAGTTTGACTACACCTAGGGGATAAAGAATTAAGTATGTAGTTACATTAACGGTGAACAAAGAATATCCTTTCTGCCATCTCTCTATTACTCAATATACTGCAATTACAATCATGTAGTTGCACGTGCATTAAATGTGATTTTCCATTATCCCACGAAATCAAAAATAACCTGCGCTGAAATTACACCTTCTCAACTGCAAGTGTGATTTTCATCCTTCAACCATTCTATACTTGAAAATAAGTGGCCAGAACCTACTTTTCCTTCATCCCAGCAAATACACCTGAAAGCAGAGATGAACGCTAGAAATTCAGCCAAAAAGGTCTACTGCACAATATTAACTCTAACGAATAATACCTTTGCTTCCTCAAGCTCCTTATCAGAGGTATTCAACAGCAGTTCTTCTTTTTCCAGCTGCTCAGATAGTTTGTCAATTACAATAAATTCTTTATGCAGACGGTCATTTTTACAGGTCAAACTATCCACTTGACTTGACACCTCCTTCCTATCATGCAGTTGCATGTCGTATTGCCTTACATCATGGTTTTTCTTCTTCAGATCTCCAGTCTACTGGGACCAGAAGGAATAAAGTATTTTACTTCATCTTTAGGGATTTGCAGGGAGTATTTCATAATTGAAAAGTAATTTACACTTAACTTTTTTTTTTTTTTTAACTTACTGGAAAAAATCAGTATATAGTATTAACAAATCAGAAATATACACACTGCTAGCATCATTTTGAACAGATTAACTTTGAAAGGATCCAGACACTGGGGAATCAGATCCTTAATGCACATGCAAAAAATTAAGAAACTTATAACTTTTTTTTAGGCTCTGATCAGCAACTTTCCTGGGTGTCCTCTCTACATGCAGTGCATCCTCTTTTTTGGACTCAAATGTGATGTAATTTTCAATATTGCAGACTGACAGTCATCTTCTCAAGCTGAGCTGCCACTGCAGTTATTCTGTGATAGTACTGGAAGAGGAAATGTTTCTCAATGCCTTACTCACTATGGTTCTGTTAGAAGTTAGGAGTGCCGTTCATCATCCTCTGTGACATGGGTCCATATCCTTCACACACGCAGAAAGGCCAGCAGAAATGTAGTAGATGAATTAATATTAATTCACCAATCAATATAAGATTAATAATTTATCTGAAACAAATTTGTCTGTAAAAATATGACATGGCCTTTCCGAAGAAACTAAAAAGTTGCTAACTATTTTATCAACTATCAACTTATCTTGAACATCTCAGTTTATAGGAACATCACTGCCTGATACAGCTTTTCAGTTTTCTGAGTCCTCAGATTTCTAAGATCCCAGCCTAATCAAGATTTGGATACAGTGTTATGTAAAATTCTATTATTTGCACATTGTAACATATGTTGCATATTGTAACATATGAGAATTTAGTATCTTTCAATATTGCATTCCATGAGATTCATTCATTCCAATTATCATAATGTTTCTTCAGGTATTACTAAGCAGTGCACAAAAATAAATTTTGAATTATTTAAGACGACCTGAAAGACGCTTCATGAAAAAGCCTTTCGGGATGGGCTCTATCATGTGACATTCTGTAGTCCTAAATTTTGCCACTTTTCCTGTTCAATGGGTACAAAAATAAATTAAGAGAGTCAGTGAAAAAAATTAAGAATCAATTCTCATTGCAATTTTTTTTCCATCAAACCTGATCCAGCTAATACTAAGTTTAATTATTAAACACAGTTATAAACCTGATAAATATGAAGTGGATGAATGGATAAATCTAAGTTGTTTTAATAAAATAGAGAAAGTATTCACAAAGAACAGTAGAGACAGCCTCTGTACTCCTGTGTTTTGGGTTCTCCTCTTTATCGAGTCATAAAACTGGGGAGAATACAACTCTGCTATTACTGGAGAAAGTTCACAATGGTGCCCATAGTACATGATGTCAAAAGAGGAATGCTATGAAGGGCAGGGAAGCCAAATCCCACTCTTCATCTGCATCTGACCATACAAAACACAAACAATATTTAAAATGACAGTATCAAAGTCTGAGTCAGGTCTGCATCCTCAAGTCTAAAATAACTGACTATACCAAAAATGTGTTTTGCTCCATACAAATAACCTCTATCATTTTTCCCCCTTCACTTTTGGATAAGCAAAAAAGTTCTGAGTACATTGAGTTACCATATTCAAACTATTGAAAAATTAATAGTTCTTCACAGAACTGTTTAGCAACCCACCTAGCAATTCATTCTCCTTCATACCAACCAGAATTTTAATTTGCGCACCTTAACTAATTACAGTTGTGCTCCTTGTGCTGCATGATCAAAGCAGTGTCTAAGCAGGCAAAATTACAAATCACATAAGGCTTTATAGACTCAAAAAGCAACATCATACTATCCAAAAAGACTCATAAGTAACAAAAACCATGAAGTACAAACAACCTTTGCTCCTGTCATGTCTTTGCACTCTGCCCTGGCTCATGACAGCCTGTTCCAGCAATATAAACTTGGAAAGAGAATGCTACCATTTCCAGTATTCCTTTTTATTTTTGCTATATCACTAGGTAGCAGCAGAAGACTCAAGAGCACATAATTTATTTCTAAAAATAGAGTAAAAATATATCAGTAAGACACATGGAGATAACTTGCAAAATTATCTCTATCAGTATCCTCTCAAATAGGAAATAAGGCCAGAAACATTTTTGTATGTGCAAATTCCATCCAAACCCCAGACAGGAGTTAAACAGCAGGAGTTGAATTAAGATAGGGATATGAAGCGAGTTACCATCAACTTTTTGTACTGCAGCCTATGCTTCCTCACAAGCATAGGCTTTTATTTACTTTGAAATAAAAAAGAAAGAGAAACTGTAGTGCTCTGTGGCAGCTTTCTAAGAATAACTATGACAAAACTAGGCCACTGGAGTGAATCCCACAGTAAAGAATGAAAGAGCCAAAGTGAGATAGCGTGAATGCTAAGTACACCTGTGCTACACTGTAACTGTACAAGTGCAAATGCCTTGACTGCCTTTTACTACCCAGCTCACAGCACTATTTAACACTTGAGTCAGTCTGCTACTGATACTATAGTACAGAAAGTAGCCAACAGATCTAACATGAGGATATAAACATTCAATTATCCACCAGCAGGAAGTTCTTTATCATCACCAGTAGGACCACAACAGTTTTTCTCCATACTCAGATTCAAAAGTTTCAAGGAAATTTAGGGCAGCTGGTTTGCTGAGTCATACCACTACCACATTCAATCTCCTCTGAATGAAATCTCAGTTGCTAAGTCTGACCATCAGCCTGAAGGAGTTCTTAAGCACCAACATATGTGAGAGCTTTCTTTGGGAGTAAGAGTCACAGAATCACAGAATCGTTTAGGTTGGAAGGGACCTCTGCAGATCATCTAGTCCAACCCCCCTGATCAAGCAGGGTCACCTAGAGCATATTGCCCAGGATCACATCCAGATGGGTTTTGAATATCTCCAGGGAAGGAGACTCCACTACCACTCGGGGCAACCTGTTCCAATGCTCTGTCACCCTCACAGTGAAGAAGGTTTTCCTCAGGTTTAGGTGGAACTTCCTGTGGTTCAGTTTCTGCCCGTTGCCTCTTGTCCTGTCGCTGGGCACCACGGAGAAGAGGCTGGCCTCATCCTCTTGACACTCCCCCTTCAGATACTTGTACACATTTATGAGATCGCCTCTCAATCTTCTCTTCTCCAGGCTGAACAGGCCCAGCTCCTGCAGTCTTTCTTCAGAGGAGAGGTGCTCCAGCCCTCTAATCATCTTTGTAGCCCTCCGCTGGACTCCCTCCAGGAGTGCCATGTCTCTCTTGTCCTGGGGAGCCCAGAACTGGACACAGTACTCCAGGTGAGGCCTCCCCAGGGCTGAGGAGAGGGGCAGGATCACCTCCCTCCACCTGCTGGCGACACTCTGCCTAATGCACCCCAGGATACCATTGGCCTTCTTGGCACAAGGGCACACTGCTGCCTCATTAATTAAGTCAGCTGACTTAATTTTGGGTATCTATAAAGAAGCATTTCTAGAATGTGGTTCACATGACCCATTTTAGACATACATACTAGAAAACTAATCATGTCATAGAAATACCTGTTTCTTTCCTCTGCCAGTAAAGACAGCCTAGACACTCTAGGATATACATCATCACTGTTGATGCAAAATTAGATGAGATGAAACCCATCCTAATATTCTAGTGTCCTTGAAAGAGACACTGGCAACTTCCTCCAGTTATACGCATCTCCCTAGCCTTCCCAGAAAGGGAACAGAACAAATCAAAGAGAATTTGCAAGCTTTCAAAACCTTCAGTATCTGAGCATTAATGACTTAGGTTCACAAACAAATGACTTTTCCCTCAAAGTACTATTTTGACTCATCCTGTGAGACAGCTTTTTGAAAGATATAATATTAACACTTTCTAAATCAACTATTTTTATGCTTGCCATAAAGCAGATCTAACTACCGCTATTAACACACTGCTATTAGCCACCATCCTCTCAACTGTGGTACTGCACCCCCCTGCAACAGGATGCAACTTTACATTAAGACCACTCTAAGCTTCATGTAGCTCTAAATGACCCTTGCAGCAGGCTTTTTAGCATGACCAAAAGTATTAACAGTTAGTAACTTCTTTTGACTGATTTAGTACACACAGCTATTTTGGGGTTCTAAGTATTTCTGAGATTAATCATTTAAGATACTCCTCTTCTTCCACTCTTACACAGTGAGCACAGCAACAGCATCTGAACGGTAGCTTCCTCAATATAAGTAATTTATAAAGAGATATTTTTTATTTTAAATTGGCATCCCATACATCATGCAGAGCACAGACTTTTACAGTATTCAAGCACAGTATTTAATGGAATTCAGACTAAAAATTTAAAGCAGAAAAGTAAAACAGAACCTTCAAATTCAGATTACGGATTGTTTTGTCTTTGTTCTTAATCCAGCATTCCAATTTAGAAGATTTCTCACTTTTAGAAACTGGGTCTCCTAAACCAAAATTGTCTTCTCATACTGTTATCTTTTGAAAGAATAAAAAATAGTGTAATTATTTCCAGTGTTTTGGCATGTCAGTTTTGTACCTGGTGATAAAATGAATCACTTTGAAAGAGAAGAGTGATATGCTCCTACAGATGTTTGCCTTAGTATTAGTCTAAAGAAAAAACAGAAATACACTCAAAATAGAACCTTTCAGAGTATGCAGCAATCATTTAAAAAAAAAAAATTACCACTGGAAAATAAGACTGAGAATTGACTACAGCCCCAAATTATGTGAATGTGGATTGCAGCATATTAAATACATGCAATGATCTTATAAGCGTACAGAAGTGCTTGGCTTTCGATGTACTGTAACATAATTTTCACTGCATACAAATATTTGAAAACTTGGGCCTTCCAGGGCAGGAAATGTTTGCTATGCTTCTGATCAACCGTGTCAAACAATGTAGTTAGATCCCAGAATCCAAAAAGAGGATGATAAAGCACGTACTATTCAATCATACCATATAACGTGGACAAACATTTTTAAAATTCATTTCAAATGTTGGTTCACCCAAACCTCGTCCTCTAAAATACTACATAGAAAATGAGTAGAAAACCTATCCTTAAAGAAGCAGCAAAAAAAAAAAAAAATCCAAAGCACTTTGAATTTCAGAGGCATAATCCTGCCTCAGGTAAATTTAATAGGATTTTATCAGGGATCGCAAAGGACTGCACTTGTATGACATACCATGTTCAAACAAAAGAGACACAAAAAACATCACAAAAGTGAATGTGACAGTATTTTCTAGTACATTAACATTTATTAGACAGAAAATCACTAAAGTCAGTGACAAAACTCATGGGATACAACCACAGACTCGAAAAAAAAAAAAAATCCCAAACCTGAATCATTCACTTTTTAAATTCAGAATCACTTGCAACAGAGACTGAACATATACAATAGGTCTATTGGTCAATACAGAATCACAGAGTAGTGGAGGCTGCAAGGGACCTCTGGAGATCATCTGGTCCAACCCCCCTGCTCAAGCAGGGTCACCTACAGCAGGTTGCCCAAGT